CGCACCTTTTTTTGTACATGCAAATACACATTTAATAGTGCAAATATGCAGCACTAATAAACATCTTGTCTTCTGCTATATTAAGATAATAATTACCAGGTGTGGGTGATTCTTACTGCAGAGTAAGGCCAAATGTTTCAAAGCTTTACTCCCTCAGCACATTAACAAGTTTGGGTGGCAACACAAAGAGTTTGAAATAAAACTTTCAAGGTGAATAAAATGAGGCAACAGTTACAAAAGCTATTACTGCTTCCACTGAAGGAAAATTTACATTTTTAAAAGCATGGTTCAAAGTATCTAATTTAGGATTTGTGAAGAGTACTAATTCTTCATCATCATTTAAAAGACTGAAATAAGTCAGGCAGTTCTGATATTTGGTCATTTTCCCTCATTAATTGGAAGTTATTAGTTTCTGCACCCTGTGATGCCTGTCAAGAGTCGTGCAAAATAGCACAAATCAGAAAGCCGTCATACCACAAGTCCCTGGGGTCCCCTTAGTAGGTTGACACTTTCCCACAGTGCCCGGCAACGAAACAATGCCAACTCTAGCCGTGACCAATTGCCACTTTCACTCCACCATCCACACGCGACCTCGCTGCAATTTTTCACTCCAGCAATGAACTCCACTAAGCACAAAAAAGTCTCCCATTTTTCAGTAGAAGAGGGCTGGACAAGTAACATCCCCCACCCATTGTGTGGCTACAGAGCTTGGTTCGCCGACCCCCCGTCTTTCTCCTGTCCTTCAACTCTCATTCCTGCCCATTGAAGACCTCTTGACTAGGACATAAAGCATTCAATGAAAGTGACTTTTATAGACTTATTTGAGCTCATCTTCACATACAAACTGGCTTCAAACTTGCAAGAGAAAAGATTTAGTGTTGGGCCACTGAACCATCGAGTAATGGCATTTCCATTGAACAGCTCTATTGTTGGTGTCCCATATGGCTCTATAGTTGGCCCACTAGAGTAGACACACGTTGCCCAGGAATGACCTGGTAATCAGCTATTTAAGTAAAAGCTATTGAATGCCAATAGAGAAGTGAAAAGCATGTCCAAACCAGTTTTGTGCTCTCTAGAGGTGGTCTATGTGCAGATTTGTCGTACAGATTAAAAAGGCAATGTTGAATAGATCAGATAAATTGTTTCACTTGACTTTTGTTGTGTGTGCACCTGTGAGTGAAGCAGCGTGGTATTGGCCCTCTCAGGTCACCAAATCTCCTTTTTCCAGGTTGAAATGGTTTTCTATTCTCATTTAGTCACCCTCAGTTTGTTAAATTGGACAAATAGAAAGAGGATTCAAGAATGTGCGATAAAGTAAGTGTGACAAAGACAACTGGGTTTGAAAAAGTAGGAAATGTGAAACAGTAAGTGGATATATTATAAATGTGGAGAAGATCCGATTTTATCCAAAGCTTGAATAACCTGTTTCCGTTTATAAGACACTACCTTGGTGTTCCACTGTCTGCTACTTACCTTCTCCAAGATGTTTTTTCATGAATCTACACTTTTTGTTTAAACTGATACAGTATGTGTTACAACCTACCTTGCAGAGATGAACCACCCACCATTGATTTTTATTGCTCTAATAAATAGCCCATTGAATATGTCTAGTACTTGAAACTGATGTCAATAAACTGACATGTTATTGTTCCTCTAATTCACTTTCAGAGGGAGCAAACATTCAGATGTGGTCTGCTAATGCAAGTCCAAACTCACGTAGAGGGATCCTTAGGAGAGCTGTGTTCTCTGAAGAACAAAGGAAGGAGCTGGAGAGGACCTTTCGAAGACAGAAGTACATTAGCAAGACAGACAGGAACAAACTGGCAGCTAATCTCAGCCTTAAGGAATCACAGGTAATCGAATTCAAATGAGCTCATGTTTCGAATATGTGATCCTGCCTTACAAAAGGGTGCAGGGGAAAGTGACAGCTGTAACAGCTCACCTTAAAGATCAAACCTAAATTCCACACAGTGACCAAGATCTCTAAACTGCATTTACAACTTAAAATGAGAAGCTAACATACTTATGATGAAGGACTTCACAAACTGAACTAAAACCTTTACACTGTCGCACTGCTTTAGGTAAAGATTTGGTTCCAGAACCGGCGCATGAAGTGGCGAAACTGTAAAGAGAAGGAGGTTCATAACATTCGTTCCCCAATGGATGAGCTCATGGCCCGCGGTCTTGGTCAGGAAGAAGAACCACAGAATTACACTAATGCAAAAACAGAGAGATCATCAAAGCAAAAGAGTGCCAAAGACACATGAGAGGTCATAATGTATGGAGGGCAAACTTTACATCTACAAAATAAAAAGACTACAATACTCTGATGGTTCTAAAAATATATGGATGAAACATTGTCTGTGTATGGCACGTTTCTTGGCATGATAAATGCAATTTGGTTCAGCTGCTTGGTCAATCACATTGCAGTGCACTGGCTTCAGTAAGCAGTTTCATGGCTATTACCCTGACAAGTATTTCCAGGAGAGACTGTAATTGGAGTCCATTAAAGGCCGGAATGATTCACTTCATTTACTGCACTTCCATATTAGGCTGTTTTATATTTCACATTTTCATAAGCTCTACACTTGTGCTTTGTTTGTAATCCAAGTCCATTGGAACTCATGTTTCACTTTCTATATTTTGTAAATATTTTTGTCCAACTGTAAATAAAGCATTTCGATAACTCCTGTTTTAGACATTGTTTGTGCTTAGTGATCACCCTACTATATACTATTCATTGCTCTTAAATATAATCTTGTTAATGGAAGAGCATAATTACAATGAAGGTATCAAAAACCATAATGAATTGTTGTTTAAAACAGAATTGTATATAGATCACGCGCTATCGTGATCACAGTCCAGCTGAGTGCATTTTAGGCTGCAGAGATGATTTTTGACTTTATTGGAGTCTCTGCAGAAGCAGCAGGTTATGATGGTCGAATCCTCCTTGTTTATAGCCAGAAAAAGTCTGAAGAACAACTAAACTCTATGCAGAGATGTAACCCATGTTTCGAATATGTGCTGAAAAGAATAAAAGGGAAAAAACTAATTCTTTCAAAGAATGCATTGTATGATGGATTTATATATGGACTAAAAGTGAACTTTTGAGTATTAAGAAGACGCAAAATATATATTTCATAATTTGCCATAATTATATTTTATACTTCATTCCTGCAAACATAAAATATCGTCTGAGATTTGCAGTGAACACAAAGTGAAACATTTTCAACTGCAGTGTGAATCATTAAAATGCACTGTATCAGTGAGCCCTAGACCCTTGTTGAAGCTCTACTAGTTGATCCTGATTGTGATCCCGTTACATGCTCCAGTAGTTGTGACAGGAGCTCATTCCAGACCCACAGATAACGTCAGAATCAACCCTGTCAGTTGTTGTTGTTGCATGTGAAAGAAAAGCTTAAATAACTTGTTGCTTTAAAACATCACTCCAGTCACCATACCAAAAAAATGTCTTGCTATGATTGAGTGACATTACTTATCTTAACCATATGTCTTTATCATTAACAACATCATGAACTCACTTTCAGTCTTTGAGTATTCTCTTGGTCACGTGGTGTTTGGTTACCATGTGTGGAACTTTCTGTTGGTTAAGAAAGAAATAATATTTTTGTTTTGTGAACACGGGGAAACAAACTACACAATTATAGTTTTGTTTTAATGGCAACTCAAATGAGGGTGGTTGATGATGATAAATGAATGACAGATAAAGGCTAATGGGTAGTGATTGATGATCATTGTTAAGCATGAAAAAACCCCACAAATTTAGCATGCAGGTCTGTGAGATGCCATGCATTCTTGAAGACTGTTGTGTGACTCTATGAAATAGAGAGATCTGAATGGAAGGGAACATGGAATCCCGCCTGTCCATCGGGACCAGCGCGTTGCCACGCATTGAAAATTCAGGCATGAACAATTAGAAAGAAAAAAAAAAACACCATTCTTAAATTCCACAAACACAAATTTGTTTGTAGTGGATAAAAATTATATTTTCATGTCATACAATTTGCTTATTTAGCAACTTAGCCAATGTACCCACACGGGAAAAAGTATTACAGACACTAGACTTACTCAGACATTTCAAATAAAGAACATTATTATTGGGGATAAATAAAAGATTTTAATTTGTTGCGCTTGTCTCCTATTCATTTTCAGTTCACATAAATGATTTTAAATAAATGACCATTATCAAAGTAACCTTCATCACATCAGACATGTGACACATTGTGTATTATATGGAATGCTGATGATTTTACTTCACAGCTATTCCCGAGGCTGAATTGGCTTTCACCAAAACAGTCAAATATTTAGCATTTATTTTAAACTCCAAGACAACATAAAACCCAAAAGGAGATTTTTGAAAAGTACCAAACACATCCATTGTTCATGAACTATGTCTGTTTGGCCGAGCTGTGAAAACAAGACTATTCAAATGTAAAGGGAGTGATTGATCTTCTCGTTAGCATTACACAGAATGGGCCTCACGCTGTGAACATAGTGATCAAGACATTTAAAACAGTTTGGCATCTTATGCAGAACAATTTATAGGCAATCCAATTTGTAACCATTACTGCATGCTAGGTGTTAGTTTTACATTGTATTATGCCATGTTTCAGAACAAGTGGCATTAGTGTGCCACCTTGTGGTGACATAAGTGTTAAGTGGTTTTTATTTCTGATTTTTATTAGTTCTCTCTTGTAAGAGCAATAACTAAATAACTGTTGTAATAAAGAGATAAACATACTAGGCTAAAGCAAGGCTTTTGAGCATAAGCATGAGGGAAAGAAACCTCACAAATATGTGGTTTCATAGGACTATTTTATTGTCATTTATTCCAAACAACACACGGAACATCATAAATACAGCTTTTAACAGAAAATATAATCTACTATAAATTTATATGTATAATACTATGTACAGGTTTCAGTGCGTCTTAATTCAGTGTGCTAACAAAAGCACTAACAAAGATGAAATGAGACGGCGACCTGCTCAGATGAGCAAATTGCTTGAGTCAGAGTCTGTTCTCATAACAATTACCCTCTTTTACAAATGCTTCTTAAAACCCAGTGCCACTGAGCTCCATCTGTGCCTCAAAACACAGATTTCAAGCTCCTGTTTTGGTCCATGTCACTTCAAGATCTGTGGTGCTTCCATTTTCGAAATGCCACTGCAATGTTTGCATCTTTTCTGTGCCAAGGGAAGACACGAGTCAGAGAAAGGGTCCCATCATGCTGCACAGAACCAGTCAGCACATAAAGCTGTGACCTCCCAGGACGCACAAGGGCACGGGCACATCTAACGTTGATAAGGAGCCACTGCTGGAGCAGATGCTGGGTGTCATAAGGCAACAGAGGACCCTGACGGATAAACTCGACCCGCCCCTCAATTTCAAATTCTGGCTCTCCTGTGGGTAGGCGAAGACGGTGGAGTTTGGCAGTAACAGCTGTAAAGGAAAAAATGAATAATAATAAACACCAGGAAAATCGGAAGTTGTGACAAAAACAAACAGATGTGACTATACCGCAGCTTTTTGAGAGATTTTTTGAACGTACCAAAATCATGGCTGCAGAAAGAATCCAAGATTGTTTTTGATTCAGGAGCCTCTTCCACATAAGGACAGTTTTGACAGGCAGATTTAGGCAACCCTGCGATAAAAATCAAACATTATTTAAAATAACTGTAGTAATCATAAAACAACCTGAAAGAGTAAGGAACTGGTTTTCTATTATTCCAGTGGAATTAAACATTATAATCCTTAATAATGAACATGTAGTCTTTACCTTTAGAAAAGATGCCAGGTTTTCCATGGTGAGAAAGACACATGTCTTCCTCAGCAGGGAAACGGTCACAGTCAAGAACATCAGGCCATGAGTGTCCTTGGCAGGCAAGCACTGGGGCACAGCTTTCCCTCACTGCCACACACAGACTACGGCAGGGCTGGATGAAACTGAACAAATAGCAACAAGATGTTACACAGTGAACAAACAAGATTACAACGGTCATGATTATTAAAGGAAAGAATAAAAAGAAAGCAAAGCTCAACACAGAAAATCTACTTACGTGTCAAGACAAACAGGGGCAATGAGGGAGCAGAGGAAGGCTTGTGCTTGAGGGTGGCAGCCTGTCTGCAACAGCGGCCTCCAATCCTCTGAATGTGGCACCACCTCGCTTTCCAGGCTACTGTGGCCCAAAAAGTTTGGCAAACGCATCTCTGAGTATCCAACATCTTTGCAGACATGCATCTTGTGGGGAATGGCAACACAACGAGTAGACTGACCCATGTCAAATGCTAGTAAAGGACAAGCCATAGTCATAAGAGCCACAGTGAAGAAAACAGCCATAATGTCAGGATCAGAAAGCCAAACCAGGAGAGGACACAAGGATAAACAGGGAGAGCTTTAAACCAGCTTTCTTGTTGCCAGTCTCTGCTGAAATGGCATGATATATATACAGCAAGGTCAGCCAGCCCCATGAGTCTGTAGGTCTGTTATCAACCACCAATCAAAGATGCAGAGACGTGTCTTTGGAGATAACGACTTGTTTTGTGATGACTGCAGACGACAGGGGGGGTGGCAGTAAGCAGATGGTGTGTGGAATAGGGGGGCGGGGAGGGGGAAACACTGGGGAATCCCAGCCCCAACTTTCACCACTCAGTTAAGTCACACGGTCTCCTGCATTCGCTTTTATAGGTCTACAGGGCACAAAAATGTTCATGAGAAAGAAAAAAGGAAAGTTTCAGTATTCAGGGGGAAAAAAGGTCATTTTGAATTTGATGGCAGCAACATTTCACACACACTAAAAACAGTTGTGACAGGGTCATGTTTACGACTGTGTAGCATTACTGTTTTTTTAAACAATAGTCTGTAAATGTCTGAGATCTGAGGAGAGCAGCTGCTGGATTTTTGGGAGTGTTGTCCCATTTTTGCTTGTTATAAAATCTCAGCTGCTCAGCAGTCCCGGCTCTTCTTTTCCTATTTTTCATTTTATGATGCTCCGAATGGTTTTAGTTGGTGTAAGGTCTGGATGGCATTTAGGCCATTTCAGTGCACAGACTCTTCAACTATACAAAGCCACGTTGTAATAGCTGCAGTTACAGGTTTAGGATAGTCTTGTTAAACAGTGAAAATTGTGTTGTCAGGATGCTGTTTTAAAGGTTGTATGTGCATTTAAGTATTAATGATGTGCATTCACTTGTGCAGGCTTTTGAACTGAGTGGTGATAAGTTGGATGGTCTGTCTCCTCTTTAGTGTAGAGAATGTGGAGTCTATGTTTTGCAAAAATAATTTCAAATTTCTATTCATCTAACCGTGGAACATTTTTCCAGTTCGCTTCGGTCCATTTTAAATGACCTTTGGCCAGACATTTTTGGATTATGTCCACACAGGGCCGCTTTTTTGCAAGACTAAACTTTAACCAGTATTTGTGGATGACACAGCAAACGGGGTATAACGGACAATGATTTCTGGAAGTGTTCTTGAGCCCATTCAGTGATTTCCATCAAGAATGCCTGTTTTTAAGCACCTGAAGATCATGGGGGTCCAATGATTTTCAGCCTTGCGCACAGAGATTTCTCCAGATTTGCGTAATTTTCAAACAATTTTATTTAGACGATTCATTAGATATTCACCAGTCCTTAACAAATTTATGTTAAGGAACTGTTCCACAATATTTCTGTGTTCTAACATTAATAAAATATGGGTTTCTAATATATAACAATCATTGCATTCTGTTTCTGTTTACACAGCATCCCAGCGTTTTTGGAATGCAGTTTGTGTATGAAGTAGTTTTGCATCTCTGAAAGTTCTATTTAAAAATAAATAAATGAGGTTTTGTAGACAGTCAGGCTGTCTCCCTTATACGGCAAGCCTCTTTCATGTGTTCCTGCTTCCTAATTGGAGACTCATCTGAAGAGCCTCCAGTTCTCATTAGCAAACCAGTGTCTCCTCTGGCACACCTGGCTTTGATCTACCAATAACCCAACCTCAGATCCAGATGTAAACTCTTTAATTTATCCATTTCATGGAATAGAAGCTGAGAAAATTCCTGTTTCATTAACCAATGCAGTGACATAATGACATATTCCAGATCAGTTTAGAGAATTTAGACCATTTCAATTCTTCTTTCTCTAGTAACATGTCCATAAATTTCCTATGTACATTTGAGGTGGGAAAAATATCCTGAGAAAATATGTCAAAGAATACTCTTAAGTTGTTTTGTTTTTTAACAAAATAATAACAATAAATAATTTAATAACGCAGCAATGTATAGCATTCACCGTCAGTGAGAATTATGCCTAAAGTGCATCCCAAAAACCCATTCAACAGACCAAAGGTCTCATCTTTATTTGTCAACCATAGATAAAGACACTCATTTGTCAATACAACAGAACTCCATTACAGCATCGTCATGTTTGTTTTGATGTCGTCTGTCTCTAGGTTTAGATCTGTATCTGAGGCTGATGCCACTAAGACTTTCTCTTACAAACAAGAAGGCTCTATCCTAACCAGCCTCCTGTGGCTGGTGATCAGAGATGACAAAGTAAAGTGCTTTCTGACTGACCACATTTGTGTGTGTCAACGCTGTCTGCTGTGAGGACAATGCACCATTGAGCCCTCCATGGTTGCAAGCCCTCCACTGAGCAACAGCTTAGTCAACTTTTACAATCTGATGAGCGGAGACTGGTTCCAGAGCTTGGGTAGACGAGTACAGTCAGTAAGATGGGGACTAACTGAGCAACAATAGTTCAAGACTAATTTGGGAGAATAGGTCAACACATTTAACAAGCTCCCCCTGCTGAGTGCCCAGCAGGGATCTATTGTTGAGCCTAATGGCTGCCTTGTAGACACATTGTCTGTCTTGGTAATGTGTTGCCTGCCCCTACCTCAGTGAAAAGGTGATAGTGTAGTGATCCTAATACCTGAGCAGCTCTGTCTTAATACAGTAGACGGTTTAGCTTGGACAATTATCCCTTAAAGCCAACAATTAAGAGTAGCTTTAGCCATTTTCCTACATATTCTGCACCATCTGGCTTTCATAGACATTGAGCAGAGGATCTGTACGACCAAGCGATCAACTTTTAAGTTCAGGGCTGTCATATGGACTTAAACAGTCCATCATTACCTGTTACCATTTTCATTTAAGTTAAAGTGATTCTTACACTAAATACCTAAAATCGAGTAAGCTACGCATATATATTTATACGCAGAATTTTTAGTTTTTCAATGAATTTCCCTGTTTAAATGCATAAAATACAAATTTTCAGCTTACAGCTTATAGAAATATAAAATTATTGTCCCTCATTAGGTAAATGTATCATATTTAGCTCAGAATTATGTTTATTTCGAAGTTTCTACCCACATGAGGAATTTGTCTTGGTGTCATGGTGCAAAAATAATAGTGGTACAAAAATACATGGTATTTACAGTACATCTAATATATACATATCTATATAAGTACAATAAAAACAAGAATACTTTAAGTTAACTATTGATTATTACCTACTTATCTACAAATTTTAGCTAGTAGTTCTAACCGCACATTCACTAATGATTAAAAGAAAAAAAGGAAAAAAAAATCAGCCCATGCTAGCCTGTTTTAACAGCTTATTGCTTAATGAGTTAATTCATTTTTTTCTCCCAACATTATTAACCAATCTTAACTTTTGCATTTTTGCTGTATATTTAGCTGGCCAAGACATTTCACTTTATGGCAAGTAGTTTTTTTTGTTTGAAAGGCTTGAGCTGATGCAATCTTTCCATGTGTGATATAACCCCCCCTCCTCCTTTGGTAACCAACTTGTCTGCTCTGAGGAATTCACAGGTATGTCTTACCTCCTTACAAGCACCACCTGCTATAATAAAATAAGCACAAACTAGTGAGAATGCAGCTGGCACGGACTGTCCCCATTATGTGCTACATGTGAGCACATAATGCTGGTATACACACTGTCCTGGGACCAAAATAAATAAACCCACAAACACCCCGTGTGGGTTTATACTGTCTGCTTATTTCAGACACTGACTTTAGCATCTTGTGGGGAAAATAGTAACCTTTTTTCTATGTGATAATAAAAATTTGTTTTCCAGACCTTGGGTTTTAATGTGTGCATTTGAAAGTCTTAAATAATTCATTAATAGTAACTGTGCCAGCAAAACAACGTCACAACACATCATGCTTCAAAATCTAAGTGAGAAACCTGGCGGACTAGAACTTAAGAACCTACAAAGCAACATTATTTTAAACAATATAAATGTGTATGGGTATTCTTCACTCTATGGTACAGCTATTATTGGAGAAGTGGGACACCAGAGGAAAAAAAACAAACCCAAACACCTGAGGCATACATCAAAGACGGGGGTGTCTTTTGGAAGAAAAGAAAAGGGACTTTGTGTCTGAGCTGAGCTCTCTCACAGTTCAGATAAGCGTTATCCCCTCCCTGCTCCTAATAGACCCATTAACTTAAAGACACTGAACCCCCATTTTTGTCTTTTCTTTTCCCATTACTCCACCCACTGGGCTCCAGTAGGGCTGACGGTGAGTGTGCAGACTTAGACTCAATAGCACTCAATTGTCACATCCAGTCTCCAGGTCTTATGGGCAGACACTGTTATATCAACTTATGGAGACAACTTGCCCATAAAATCCGCAGACATCTGCTTAGGTTAATGCCCTCAATATACCAAAACCTTGTTTTGTTGTATCCATTTTCTCTTGTTTATCAAAGAGCTCGCACCACATTACTTTCTTTTTGCTTTAAAAGCAAGGTCGATTCCATTCAAATAACTGTGGAACCATTACTGTGCAGACTGGGTAGATAAACACACTGGGACCATTAAGGTGCAATTCTTGGTAATTCACCCAAAAATCAGAACCATCTTATGCACTGTCAAGCACATCAACTTAATGGTAGGACACAAGAATGCTGGGCCCTGATCATGAGTATCACCTTTATTTCTCATCCCAGTGGGACTGCATTTGGCTCTTAGGCAAACAAGATATTTTTCTTTTTAAAGCACTTACGTTAAGAGGTACACAGAGACAAGCCGAGAAAACGTGAAGGAGGAAAAACAAATATAAACACAATTTGATTGCCAGGTTGACTGTGCTGCAGTACACCCCCTGTTTTTGTCCCTTTTATGTGCTCCTTTGCTCCTCTGCAACACTGTGGGGAAAATGAGATGGGGTTCACATTGTTGCACAATAATAATAATATTAATAAAAAAATCAGAATACCATCTGCACTAACAATAAATAATATTTGATTAGTAGCCTTGCAATAGTCCAGAATATCCATTATGAACCTGTTTACTTACGTGTGAACATCTTGAAGAGAGGAAGGAGGATCGCAGCCCAGATAAGCCTCATTAATAAAGCAGTACTCAAGCAGAGCCCTGAAGCATAGGTCCTGGAAAGGAATTATGATTTTAGAACATATAGGGTGAATGCATTTTATTACAACCAGTATGATGAGAGAGAAAAAAAAAAAAGTTTAAGAGGTCACTCACCCTAATGAGAATGTGGGGGTTTCCAACAATTAAAAGCAGAGCTTTGGGTCGAGTGATGGCCACATTGAAGCGTTTTGGGTTGGCCAGAAAGCCAAGCGTACTCTTTAGATCATCACTCTGTAGTGACTCACTAGAGCGCACCTATATTATAGAAGAATTATGTGGATTAAATGCCATG